TGTTACATTTTATATTTATATTATTTAAACAAACACTTAAAATGATGTTTATATATTTATTTATTTGAAAACAAATAAAATGTGAGATTCATGTGGTATTTGTATGTGTATTTATTTGCTTTTAAAAACGTTAAATGAGATAAAATATATAGATGAGATAAAAAACGGAATAGAAAACGAAAAATCTAGAACATTTATGAGTTAATGAAAGATAATTAATATAACCAACAAAATAAATCTAAAATTTTGAAAAAAAAAATGAATTATGAAATAAGTTTTTCAGAAAGTGTCACATAAGAAACTTCATATTTTATTTTTAGATTTATATAAAATACTGATGTCAAATGCTCAATGATAAATATGTATTTCATTATAAGAATACTTTTTTGACCATTTCCAACTTAATTAGCTTTAACTTTCACATTACATAACTTCATAGGGATATTCATTATACTATTTTCATCTGTTCATCTACTAATTAAAATAAACTTACAATAAATGTTGTGGCACATTGTCACAAGATGATTTTTAAAATAGATTTTTTCATTGTTTTTAATTTATGAGATGTTAAATAAGTTAAATACTTTCTTTCCCGTGAATGAAAAATGTGTATTTCATTATTTTCTCCAAATTAAAAACAAACTTTTTCAAGCCAAAGATGTCCTTAATTGAGCATTTGACATCATTATTTTATATAAATCTAAAAGTAATATGAAGTTTTTATGTGACACTTTGTGGAAAAGTTATTTCATACTTATTTTTTTTTTCAAATTTTTAGATTTATTTTGGATTTATTTTGTTGGTTATATTAATTATCTTTCATTAACTCATAAATGTTTTAGACCTTTTGTTTTCTATTCCATTTTTTATCTCATCTATATATTATATCTCATTTAACTTTTTTAAAAGTAAATAAATACACATACAAATACCACATGTTTCAAATAAATAATACATAAGCATCATTTTAAGTGTTTGTTTAAATAATATAAATATAAAATGTAACAATTCTTATATGAATTTAGGGGTAGAATAATATAACTTATTTAATATTATAAAAATATTGAGCATATGAAAGTGTTTAGATGTTTCATCTACAAAATGAAGAGGAAAAGGTTCGAGGTTAAGCTTTTTAAAATCACCAAAACAACCTTATTTTAATGAATTTCATGTTCTAAAAATAGGGATGAAAGAGTCTTTTACATATCAAATATTTAAAAAAAATAAAAAATCTAGGAAAAAAGAAAGATAAGTTTATAATATCTAGAGAAAGGCACCTATTGTATTTTGTTTCTCTTATATATATATATATATATATATATATATATATATATATTGATGATTATCAATCACGTATAAACAATTATTGTGAACAGAGTTTAAATTCGTTTTTTATAATATCTTGTAATCATAAAATATCCAAACTTTATTCGAATTTATATGATCTAATCATAAATACAATCATGTCCTACGATAACAACAAATCCAACAATATTGAAAAGAAGAATATGTAATAACAAATCACATTTTGTAAATAATATAATTTTTAGATACCTTTTAAAATCTTTTAAATTTTATTCAACTCTTATTTCTTCATTACTCACCAAAGGATTTATGTCAATTGAAAAAATCTTGAAGTAGTAAAAAATTAACGTAATTATCAATCACGTATAAATAATTATTGTTAATGAAGCTTAAATTCAAAAAAAGTTTATCATATCCTGTAATTACAAAATATCAAAATTTATTCGAATTTATATGATCAAATCATAAACACAATTTATATGATCCAATCGTAAACACAATCATATCCTATTATAACAACAAATCCAACAATATTGAAAAAGAAATATGTAATAACAAATCACATTTTTTAATAAATATAATTTCTACATACCTTTTAAAATCTTTGAATTCTTCTTCAACTCTCACCATCTTCATCCCTCACCAAAGGATTTTCTAAGATTCATTTTGTTTATTATTGAAACTTTGAAAAACAAATTTCATTAAGAAATAAAAGAAAGTAAACGGAAGAGCAAATCAGGAGTTGGAGGTTAAACTTGGGTATACAAAATTACAAAAATAACCCAGGTTAATTTTGAGCTATACATTTTTCATCCAGGGGCAAAAAAGTCTTTAACATATTCAACATTTTAAAAAATCAAAAAAATAGAAGGAGTTCTAAGCATTAGAAGGTGCCACCTCATTATGTTTGATTTCTCCTTTAATATATATAGATAGAAGATTGCACACCATATATGCTAATAATAGAAACGATCAAATATGGGTCCTTAACGGGATATAACCCGCCGTTGAGTTTATGACTGGAAGTCCCGATTCTCATATCAAATATGTGTAACAGATAGTAACTGGTCCCATTACCGGTTAAGGGCCCGTCCCGTTTTTGAAATAAATTCAGTTTTTCTAGAATTTCGTATTTTGAATTGAGCCATTGGGTGACAATGCAAAAAATCGTTTTCATAAAAATTTATTCTACACTTCGTCTTCGTTTTGATATTACATTTTTGTATTTTGAAAATATTTAAGTCGTTGGTCGTAATGTAATCGAAAACTTCGTTTGGTTAGAATTGTCTTCAATCTCCTACGTCTTCATGATTTTGTCTCGATCTTAACTTTGTTTTCAATATTCCGCTCTTTGTCCTTTTCTATAAAATTGTCTTCAATCCTTTTATAAATATATAATATTTATATATGACAAATACTTGAGCATACTTCTTACCTTTGATGAGGTTGAAACCTTTACCTTAACGGAGGTCGAGCTCCACTACAACAAAATCGGGTTTATAGGACACACTCAAATTCTAAGTGTCCTAATAGACCTGTTTATAGGATTTAATTTATAGGACCAAAAAGATAAAGTATTATATCTAAAGGTGTTGTAATAAGTTTATATGACGTTTTTTGACGTCGTAATAAGTGTTTTAGGACATTTTTAATATAAAGCGTCCCACTATCAACTTTATAGGACATTATCTGAATAAATTGTCCTATAAAAAAAGTGTCCCATAAAAAAATGAGTTTATAGGACATTTTCTCAAAAGTGTCCTATAAAGTTGTTAATGCAACACTTTGTATTAAAAATGTCCTAAAAAATTTGTTAAGACGCCCAAAAACGTCATATAAACATATTACAACACCTTTAGATAGGATACTTTATTTTTTTGGTCCTATAAACTAAGTCCTATAAAGAGGTTTATTAGGACACTTAGAATTTGATAGTGTCCTATAAACCTGATTTTGTTATAGTGCTCTACGAGTCAGCCAAAGGCCTTAGTCTTCACTTCCCATTGTCTTCGCCTTCATTTTGTTTGTAACTTTGTCTTTCTTCATTCTTGTAGTATCCATCCTCTATGTCATCTTTATCATCATCCATTGTCGTATTGGTGTTAATTATCCGTATCAACAGTAATTAGTGGGGCGTTAGGTTTTGGGTGAATTCGATTTCTTCAATCGTCCACATCCTTTATCTCCGCCTCTAGCGTTATTCAGTTTTGAACTTTTTGATGGTATTCATATAATCTTTCTGTGTGTAATCTTTCACGAAGAGAGAAAATAAACAACCACTTTTATGATCCATAACATAATTTTACCCCTGCATGGTAATAACGAATATGTGATAACTTGCTATATTTTCCTTCCAGAAGAAGCAATTTTGAAAAGTATTGCCCCTCGAGATTATATGCTTTCCCATGCCCAATGGTTTAACTTCAACAACATCAAAGATAACATATATATATGGTTGTCTTTCAAACGTTGACTTAAATAGGTCTAGTATGACAATAGGTTCCTGGCTTCTGGTCCACAAAACTATCAAAGAGGATGTGTGGTATTTTCATTTCTAAAGCACTCTTAGACCATACAATTCCAAATTATACAAGGATCGCTATCGGCTTGTATGTTTGACCTGAGTTTTGGAATGACTAGGAGAATTTGCTTACGAACATTGTATACGCGGTGGCGTATACAACATAACTGTTCATGACCGCAATCAAACGACCAATTTTCTTTTAGTTTCTCGATAGACAAATCAAAACTAGAACATAAGGGTTCCGTTAACAGTGAATCTTGAACGTATAATGATGGGTTTACTAAGTTCGGATATTTACTTACATCTGATACCATATTTTAGTGGTTCGTTTGATTTGATTGTATGTTTTTGAAGGATTTAGATTTTGTGAATGAATTTTGGATTCACAAAGATTTGGAATCTCTATGTTTGGTTTCCAGAAAACAAATTATAAAAATAATTAAACAACTCTTTTATTAATTGATTAGAACACAAATAAATGTTTTTAACATATTTTAAAACATTGTTACAATCAAATCCTAGAAAATCCCGCGGAATACCAACTTCCCCATGGGACTTCTATATCTCACATTTTTGGGATTTCAATTCCAAACTTTCGTTTAAATCAAACTTGGAATTGGAATACGAAATATCGCGAACCAAACGGCGTTATGTGTAATTTCTTTGTTCCTTCTCAAGAAGCTACATCATAAAAGCAATAAGTTATCATTTGATTTTTATTCTCCTTGTAAGATATTACATCATGTATTGAGGTCTATATAAGGTTAACTTGAAAAACCCGTCAAATACTTCTACAGTACTTGTAAGCCACAAAACACAGCCATGGAAACCCTTGTTCTAACGTGGGTACTACTTCTAATGTTCTCATTTGCAGCATCTGATACAAATTCCACCTCTGAAACGTACACCCTCATCAAAGCCACCAATTTCGCAAGGCCAAACTGCCAAAGCAAATGCGGAGACTTGGTTGTTCCGTACCCTTTTGGCATCGGCATCAACTCAGGTTGTTCTATAGGCCCTGGGTTTGACGTCTACTGTAACACTTCTTCAGACCCTCCAAGGGCTTCCCTTGAATCTATATCTTACGCCTCGATCAAACAGATATCTGATTCCACGCTGCGGATTTCCAATACGGTGTCTACCAGATGCTATTTTCCAGATGGCAACATTCAAAGTGCCGTTAATTTTTCCCCATATTTCAATAATACTCCATACACCATCTCGGAAGTAAACAAGTTAACGGTCATCGGCTGCAATGAATATGCTTGGGTGACCTCAAAAATGAAGCCTACAGGTTGTTTGGTGATTTGCTATGAACAAGAGGATGATATAGGTGATGACTGTTCAGGCAATGCTTGCTGTCAATCATCCATACCCGAACCCATAAACTACTATGTAACTCAATTCTATGCCTTGCAAGAGTCCAACTTTTCGAACAATGGGTCTCGTAATATCATAAACAATATTACGCCTCGGCCCTTGCTAGGTGAAGTACTCGGCATGAGCAACAGAGAGACTTTAAATCCCTGTACATATGCCTTTGTCGGGGACGTGGAAGCATTCAAGTTCAATGGTACAACAGATTTAAAAGACACTTCCTTGGATAAAAAGATTGAAGCTAATGTTCCAATAGTGCTCGATTGGGCAATTGGTGATCTGAGTTGCAGCGAAGCCGAAGCAATAAATGGTACTGCCTGCCAATCAAATAGCATGTGTGTTAACTCTAAAAGGGAAACAGGTGGGTACCGTTGCAAATGTAACGAAGGTTATGAAGGAAATCCCTATCTATCTCCTGGTTGCCAAGGTACAATCTAAGTTACCAAGCTTTACACTTGTTGCAAATTATTGTCTTTTCTTTTCACAAGTTCCTCAACTCCTTTTTTTGGGTAACCATAGATGTCAAGAGCATCTTCTACATCAACTAATCCATGGGGTCCTTAGACTCCAACTAATAACCTTTAAGGAGGAACATTAAGGCCTAATATTTATTTTTCAGAGTAACTAGCCCTTAACATGAATATGTTCTTAGAGATTTAGGGTCTTTTTGTTAGCAGTTTAACGAGCTTAATGTGACTCACAGAGGTGAGGGGATTGCTTTTTGCTTGAACAGTTGTTTCAAAAAAACAAATCGATTTGATTGACGAGAAGACAATTCATGATTCAGATGCTTAACAATAAGAAAGAATAATCAAATTGTCAATTTATGGGCCAATAAAGAAAGGAGTTTTATCTTCGAAATCCTTATTCCGTCTGTGAGTCATTTCGGTAGTGGCTTAATGATACAAAAATTAGTTTATTCTGTAAGCTTTTAAGAGAGAACTCAATGCAAAAAGACAAGTTTTTCCCTCCCAAATAAAAGATACACCCCTTCATCTATACAAAACCCTCTCCCAAACAAAAAATAATTTTTAATCTATACAAAACCCTCTCCTCCAATATTCGATCAAACCATAAATTAAAAAAAAAATCTCTTCCATTTTGTAGTCACTTCCTTCTTGCCTTCTTTCATTTCTTAAATCCAATATAATACTTAGGAGTTAGTTGACTCATTCTCCTTGATTGTTCCTTTTATATAAAGACATAAAGATACAAATATACGATTTAAAGTCATCCTCTACTCTTTTAATTTATTCACACCACTTTCACAATCAATCATCTCCTTTATCGATGTGAGGGGTTATCTCAATCGACAATAAGACTTGGGCTTTTATGGCATCCTTCTTAGTAGGTTACTGGTTCGAGTCCTTACAAGGCCCCTGGATTTTCCTGATTGTCTCCTCGAGACCTTGGATTAGTTAAGGCACACACAAACTAGTTCGGATGACAACTAGTAATAAAAAGAAGCCAACACCACAATTCCATAGTTAAGAACTATAATATCAATATAACGTAAGTGTTATGTTTGAAAAAAAGAGGTTCCACCAAACGACGCATTACCATCTCCTTTCTCTCAATCTATCGTCTCTTTATCGATGTGAGATTATCAAAACTGATATTATAATATATAGAGAGAAAGAGAAGAGAAGAGAAGAGAGTCAGGTTTATACAAAACAATAACTAAATAAGGGAATAAGAAAATCATCGAATCATGTGATTTTTCATTTTAATCTTAAAAACATATGTGATTCACGCGACTTTAACCATGACCTGAGATCCTAGGTCAAGTCGTCTGTACACCTTTGTCTTGACCTTTTATGAAAGTGTAAAATAACATGTAATTTTGCACTTATTAAGCTTCTCTCTCTCTCTCTATATATATATATATATATATGTATATACTGATATTTTATGTAACTTATGTAAATAATTTATTGTTCAAAAGTTCTTTAAATTTTACGAAACATTAAATTTAATTTGTAGGTAAATTTATAATAAATAGAAAAACCATCTTCAAAACATT